ACTGAAGCCAGTAGAGAAGAAGAAATCTGCAACTCTGCCAACTCTGCCACCTCCTGTGACACCTCCACGCAAACCAAAAAGATCCCTTGCTGGCGACACAATCCATTTCTTGAGGAATCTCGCCTGCACCAAGTCACAAAAACACACGGATGAGATGAAGAAACCTTTGCTCATGGATCTAAGCCAGTCCGACATCTCTCAACAAGGTGATGATGTGGTGTCAGAGCCTGAATGGGTTCAGTCTAAGGTTAATGCTTCGTTGAAGAGAGGCGCTGAAAAGGCTAAAGTCGAGCACGTCGATGTTGACGTAGAGACCTCAAAAAGCTCGTACGAAGCGGAAGTAACTCCTTCTATAAAGAAGCCGAACACTGAACAGAAGTTGGCGGAGGAGCCTCCAGCGCATGAAGAGAATGTGCAGACTAACTTCGAAGGCAGCGTGGTCTCTGCAGGTTGTGCCCTACACTTCGAAGCAAATACAGTTGTAGATGTGCCATTGCTAAGTGTCGTAACAATCTCTGGAAATGTCCTAGCCGACGATGGCGCAACATCTGTTCAGCTGCTATGTGAAGAATCAGACTATGCAACGGATACTGACACATCCGCACTACTCCGGGGCACAGTACAGTTCTTCAACCGAAATTCGCCATTAGAAACACTACGGTCAAGTACTTCTCTTAGTGTTTCTCAAAGAAGCTCCAAGATCCTTCCGGATGCACCCGAAAATGAGAACGACGGCTGTGCTGAGATCACTGTCACTGTAGATCTACGGAGGAAATCACCAGTCGATATCGAAGAAGTTGTAACTCAGTTTGCAAACCCATCAGAACTTCCAAAAACAGACGAACAGGATTCTTTGGCTGCTACAGGATCTGCCAGAACCTCCACAGCAGATGAAACAATTCATCTTGTAGTGGAAGAGACTCTTCTGTCGCAAATGGCTTCATCGGCGCCGACAGATGACACTGGCAGATCGCTCACCTCCTCGCCGACCTCGAAGGGACTAATCAGAGAGACTGACATCCTCAGCGATGAATCGGTATCGGTGATGACGGAAATTAGTCAAAGCGTAACAGATTTCGTTGACCAGACATTCACCTTTGTCCGAGCAGATGCAAGAAAGCGACTCATTGCGATAGTTTACTTGGACACCCGTCAGTTTGCGCGAGCTAACGTAGCAGCTGATAATACCTTTGATGT